TGTGCCGTCGCAAAAAGTTCCGTCTCATAAGCCCACTTTTCTTGTAGTATTACTTAAAAAGTGTGATTAAAAAGTAGTAGTGTATATATAATCACACTTTAATTAGAAGGGGTGATTAAAAAAATATATATATAATCACACTTAATTGAAAAGTGACATAAAAAATAAATATTATCACACTCAATCAAATTAAGTGTGATTAAAATATCAATCTAATTTTTTTTATCACACTTCCAATAAAAGTGAGACCTTTTTTTTTTGTCAAAATGTGATCTTTAACTATTTTTGTAGTAGTGTATGCTAAATTAATTATTTACATAGTATTCTAAATTAATTATGTAGTAAGAAAAATTTGTTAATTCACTTTTATTATTTAATTAAGAGACAAGCCATAATTCACTTTATGCATATTACAATTTACTTTATACATATTATAATTTATTATTTGTGGAATATATTATACAGATAATATTACATCGTAAGACAAGAATAACTAATACTTTTTCAATCCGCATTCTTGTAGCCTATTTTAGAAAGTGGATTAAAAGTTACTTTTCAACTTTTAACACACTTTCTTCTTTTATAAAAAAGTCAAAAAAAATTAAAAAATAACTTTTAATCATCTTTCCAAAACATTCTTGCGTTGAGTCTTCGTGGCTAACTAGTTTGATGACAGCTTGAATGAGCTAACTAGTTTGATGACATCTTGAATGAACAATCTCATGTTCAAGTATGAAGAACCCCCTTCTTCCATTGCCTTCTTTGCCATCTCCCCAAATACTCTTGCCCTTCGTCTTGTCTCTTCTCCTATTCCTTCACTCATTACGTTCTCCACAGCAGCCCTAACAACCTCTCTATCCACCAACTTCTCACACTTGTCTTCCGCAAACCTGTGCCCAACTGTCTGAACGCCAACGCTCACTCCGATCTCCAAAAGCTGCACAGCTAGCTTCTCATTCAAAAACTGCTCACCGAACATAGGCCACGTTATCATCGGCACACTGGCACACACCCCTTCCAGCGTCGAATTCCACCCGCAGTGTGTCAAAAAAGCCCCCACAGCCAGGTGCGACAATATGAGTATTTGCGGTGCCCAGCCTCGAATCAGAAGCCCTCTCCCTTTCGTTCTTTCCTCGAATCCGTCTTCTTCCACCCACTTCTCTATCTCTGCCGCCTTGTCTCCGCTTCTTATAACCCACACAAATGGGCGTTTCGAAGCCTCCAAGCCTAAACCTAGCTCGATTAACTGAGCTAGTGAGAGGTTAGTTATGCTTCCAAGGCATGCGTAGACCACGGAGCGTGGCTCTTGCTCATCGAGCCACTTCAAACATTGGTTTTCGTCGATGTCGGCCTTGTTTCCTCTCTGAGCCTTATCCAAGTTGTCTTTGTTGCACAATGATAGCGGCCCAACGCACCAAACTTTATCTCCTTTCACCTTTCGAAACTCGTCGACATATCTCGGTTCTAGCTCTTCAAAACTGTTAATCACCACCCCATATGCTTCAGCTTCGGCAGCTTTTATTCGATTCCGTAAATCTTGCCATTCTGGTGAACTTCGATTGAGAAACATAGCCAACTGAGCTTTAGTTAGCTCAATTCTATCAGGCAAGCCAGGAAGTTCGAACGGCTCTGACTGGGAAACATTCTCATAATCTTTAAAATTTTCTAAATTGTGTGCGCATAAGAGAGTGAGGCAGTTCATTCCATCAAAAAGAATTCTCGGAATTCCAAACTTACGAACTGTGTCTCCTATCCATGCAATATATTTATCGGCTATTAAGCAACTGGGACATGGCTCGAGCGTTTCAAACAACTGCTCGAATGGTTGTTGCAACATGTCGACGCCCTTGAGGAGTTTCATCGTAAGGTCTAGAGAGTGAATTGCGTCAAAAGTTTCGTACCCCTCCAACAGGCCGGCCTCCACTGACGGGAACCGGAGAGAGAGAAGGCGGAGGGGGAGGCCCGATTCGATCACACGGTCGATGATGGGGCGGAACCTGGAGGCAATGACAGGAGTGGTGACGACAGTGACAGTCACGCCTTGTTGTGCCAATAATTTGGCCAAGTCAATCATGGGGATGAAGTGGCCTGGGCCTATAAAAGGTACTAAAATGAAGTGAAGCTGGTGGTGGTTCTGTAAAGCCATTGGAGCTTGGGGGATTGGGGGTGGATGGATTGGCTATATATGTAGAATTTATACAGCTTTGTCCCAAAATTGGGTTTAAAAAAACAAAACAAAGACCTTATTTAGCGGTGACTCTTATACGAAACTCTTAGGTAGTGTTTGGTAGAATTTTGTAAATGTAATTTGAGAGTATGAGTTGTATTTTGAGTTTGTGTGTTATAGAATTATGATTTGAAGGTAAAAAATTTGTTTGGTAAAGAGTTTTGATTTGAGTGAAAAATTGTTGATGTGACATTTGATATTTGATATAAAAATTTACAACTCATAACTAAACATACAACTCAAAATTATTTTAAAGCACATAAAAAATTTTAAAAATTTTAAAAAATATTTTTTTCGATTATATAAAAATTAACATATCACTTGCAAAAAAAAAAAATAAAAAAAAAAATCACTATTCCGGTCAACTGGCCGGACGTCCCGTTAGCAAAAATTTTGAGAAAAAAAAATCTGAAAAGCGCGGCTGCTGCAGATAACTCTGCAGAGTTTTGGAAACGTGTTTCCAAAACACGTTCCAAACACCATACTGAAAACACAGTGTAGAACTAACTTTTGAAAACACAAACAAACAGAGCCTAAGATTTTTTTAATTTTTTGAATTCAATATTTTAAAATTTTAGTTTATTTTTTTATTTTTGTTATTTGTAAAATTTTTAGTGAATATTTTTAAAAATTTGAAGTAAATTTTTTTTTTTTTACTTTTTTAGATGCACATTACTTAAATGTATCTAAAAAATAAAATATTTGTAAAAAATATTTTTCAAAATCAATAAATACACAAGAATATGAAAAATGTATTGAATTTTCATTATTTTATTTTTTTTGAATTTTTGGTATTTAGTAAATTTTTTAAAGATTTTTTTCACAAATATTATACTTTTTAAATTTATTTATGTTAGGTGTATCTTAAAATTAAAAAATATATATATTTAAAATATTAAAAAAAACAAAAAAAATTGCAATAAACATAAAAATTTCAATTTTTTGGAAGACAAATCCTTAGTTGTGATACCAAACAAGCTGGTTACTTTTTTAGACCTACCTCAGAAGAAGTTTTTGATTGGTCTATGGAACCGTCATGTGGTGCCCAATAGGGTTGTGATTGGTGGAAGAGATGATATTGGATATACTTCTTTAGTGGAGTATGAAAATGAGATCTAATTGATTTATTAAAAGAATTGGATTTAGTTTGGTATTGATCATAATATATTTTTAATATATTATATCTGATTTTTAGAGACCCAATAAATATTTAATAATTTGTTTAGTAATAGTTATGGTTTTCATAAAAAAAAAGCCCCACAATCAAAACTACACATATATTGTTTCAGCCATGATTAAGACCCCCTCAAACTCTCCACTCTCACCACCCTCTCTCTCTCTCTCTCACACACACGCGCGCGCGGGGGATTGGTGATAAGGGAGAAGAAAAATAAATAAATAAATAAATAAAACTGACCAATCAAAGACAAAGGAGTTGTGGGAGTGACCCTCAAAAGGGGGTCCGAATCTTTATTCATATTGTTTTAGTCTTCCGAAAATAAGTGTGGCGGCATCTATAACATTGTGAAGTAACTTGGAGCAGCAACTTTTTTTTTTATCATTACTCGGTGGTGGTATTTCGGTGAAGCTGATTTGGTTCATTATTTTAGATCTTTTATAATTTATTTTGAAAATTTTTGTTCATTTATTTGGTAAGATCTTTCCTCTTGATTATTTGTGATTATTTATAATTCACCTAAGGGTGATTTGTGAAATCAATCGTGTCTCATTTGTAATCGTTTAGAAACTTTTTGGTTGACAGTGGAATCGGATTTCGATCTCGTAGACATACATGCCATTGAGGGAACCACGTAAAATTTTTGTGTTGCTGTTGATTTAATTTTTCCGAATTAGTTTTTATTCCCATTGATTGATTTACTTGTGGGGAATCATATATTTTCCCTAACAACTGGTATCAGAGCTTACGGTTTATTAGGGTTTATTTATTTGTGTAAATCAATGGAGAGGAATGTGGGTCGTATGTCTAGTTTCAATTGAAGCAATTGGGTAACTTGGAAAACTAAAATGGAGGACCTATTATTTTGTAAAGATTTGTATGGGCCTATTGAGGGTGACAGTAGCAAACCCGAGGGTATGCATGATGATGAATTGAAGAGGCTTAATCGAAAAGCCGTTGGTGTTATCCGTCAATGGATTAATGACAGTGTCACACCCCAAATCCGGGCATGACCGGCCGTGGCCCACAGGGACTTAGCCCAAGGCACACGTAAGCCTAAACATGAACCCAAAACCATAAAGAATAAATGTGATGATAGCCCAGAAATAAATAAATCAACACTCAATCCAGTGACATACCACAAGTGAAAAACAAGTCATAACCAACTTCCTATAAACATATATATACTAAATGGAACACAAACTGCCCACAAAATAAAATAATTCTAAATAAAATCCAACCACAATGTATGCACAAAACTCGACAAAGCAACCTATAAAAAATTAAATAAATGCCCTAGAGGTCCATGCAATTGAGTCCTCGCTACGCCATAAGTCCACTCTAAGTCCTTCTAACACCTGGAAATGGTAAACAACTAAGTTAGCTGATAGCTCAGTGAGTAGCAACATGGATAGTAAATACAGTTTTGAAAACATGGCTCAATTCCAAAATAAGATATATATCACAGAAACTAGATTGGCATATAGTTTGGTAAATACAATCTGTTTCAAAAAGATGGTTCCACAGTTCAACACTTAAAATACTCATGTCTCGCAAGAACATGATAAACAACATTTTCCACTTAAAACAGATTATAACATGAACACCAATAATTTTCTGGGTACCAATAAAAACAAATAATATGCCACACA